TTCTCATTATACTCCTCTAGAGGACAGTTGGTGTTTGGTGGGATATGTTATTTTGGTTTTTCATGTTATTATTCTTTCTCTGTGATTTTGACATGTGAATTTCTTTTGTAGTTTCTGATTCTTGTGTGAGACTCAAGCCTTCATGTTTAGGTCTGCTTCTTTTTGTAAACTTTATATGCCTTTGTGGTTTACTTTTTGGGCATGAAAATCTGGTTCCTCTAAGCTTCTGGTTCTCTCTTTTGATTTTATATTGGAGTGGCCAGATTGCTTTTGTCTTCAGGAGTTCCCATAGAGGCCCAAGTCAGATGAGGATTAGATGCTCTCAGGCTTTCTCTTAAGGTCTGGATCCCTCCAAGAAAGATGTTGTCAACAGGAATTTGGGGGTTGGACTGGCCTGGGTTCATGGCCCAGGAAAGATGCTGGTCTAGGGCAGCTGGTGGCCATGCCACCCAGAGATGTAAAGGGAGATGGGGTGGGAAGTGGCCCCAAGGGCTCCTGGGGACTGTAGGGAGGAGCTGGGTTGGTCTGGATGTAAAGGATCAGGAAGCCGAGAGGTCAAACCTGGTGTCTAGGCAAGAGGCTGGTGGGTTGTGCAATCCAGGGAAGCAGAGGGAGGTGAGGACAGGACCAGGCCCAGAGGGCTCCTAGGGACTGAGAGAAGGAACTGGGTTGGTCTGGATGCAAAGGATCAGGAAGCAGTGGTGGTTCCCCCAGTGTCTTGGGTGCTAAGACAAGGAATGGGACAGTACCCAGGCTAGGAGGAGAGACGGGCGTGGGAGATGGGAGGGTGAATGAGGCTGGAGGAGTCAAGGCACTGAGGGCATGATGGACTTATCCAGGAGAGAGGCGGGGGTGGGGGTGGGGGGTGTTATGCAGGCCCAGGGAAGCAGAGGTGCGGGGTTTTTTTTGTGTGTGTGTGCTGGGGATCAAACCTAGGCCTAAACTTTAGTGACTAAGCCATGTCCTCAGTCCCTACAATTTAGTATTTTAAAATGATAGTTTAATTTCTCCATCAATAAAGGAAATATGAGATAATAGATAAGATGTACTTGTTTGTGTATTTTATTATTTTTATGTGTATGAGTATTGCATACATGTTTGTAAGTACACATGTGTTGTGCAGTGCCTAAAGAGGTCAGAAGAGGGTATCAGATCCCCTGGAAGTAGAGTTACAGAGGGTTGTTACCCACCATGTGGGTGCTGGGAATTGAAGCTGAGTCTTCTGCAAGAAGCCAGTGCTGTTAATTGCTGAGCTATCTCTCTAGCCCCTTGATGTTGTATTTTAATCCTGCAATTTCACTGGTTTAAATATTTTTTTTTTTTGCCATCAAGTCCTTCTCTAACCACTAGGTACAATCAACATGGATGAACTATACTATGTGTAAACAAAGGGTTAAAATTAGTCACATGTAAACTGAGTGCTAAAACCATATGCTATTTTCATCTGTCTTTTTGTCAAAGTGGCTTACAGTACACAAATGCAGTAAGATGTATAAATGTTGATCTGACCATACTGTGTCCTTAACTTACAATGTTTCTGCCACAGTAGTCTTCTATCAGTATCATACCAAAGAATAAATAAATTTCTTTATGATGTCTAAGAGATGGTTTACATTTTTTGATTGTACTGAAATGTACCTTTTAATATCTTCTTTATGTATAAAATATTAGTATACCCAAATATTCCTTTTAACCATGGCTTGGAGTTTAGAAATAGTTTTCTGCATAAAGTCTTTGTTTTTTTTTTTTTTGAGGGGATGTGTGCATGCGTATTTTTTTGTAACAGGATTTGACCTGTAACTATCACTGAGAATTTTCTTAGAGGAGTTCAAAGCATTTTACAGGGATCATCTCATTTATCCTTCGGAAAGTAAAGCAGAGGCATTTATCTCTACTACAGACAGAGAATGCTAAAAGGCCAAGGTAGGTGGGATTTTTTGTTGTTGTTTTGTTAAGATCAAAAAGTAATTCTAGGCCAAAGCCAGATTCTGATCTGACCTTGTTACATGATGCTTCTCCAGCTCTGTAATGCAATGTAGTGCTTTCCCTGTTCTTTCCTTGAGTATCCTAGGTTTTGAATAATTTTCAGAATTAATGTCTCATCCATTTCTGTTCCTTGAAAATTGGTGTTAAGATGTACATACAAAAGAAAATTCTCCAATCTTTCTTATATGGCTTTTTGTTTTGTTTTTGAGACAGTCTCACTACATACTTCTGGTTGGCCTGGAATCTACCTTGTAGATCAGATGGCCTTAAACTTGTGGTGATTCCACTGCTTCTGCCTCCCTAGTGCTGGGATTACAGGTGCGTGCTACCATACCAAATCTTGCTTCTTTATGGACTTGGGGAATAGGGAGAAACATTTTCCCTTCCTCCTAATCTTACTATGTAGCCCAGTGTTTGTCTAATAAGGAAATAACATCAATCAGAAACGTAAGTCACAGGTATAATTTTGAGTTTTCTATGTTATGTTAAAATATATTGTATTCAACCCAATATGTTTGAAATACTAACATTTAATATATAACACTTAAGGTATTTCACATTCTTTCTCTTGTATAAGTTCTCAAACTCTGCTATGTATTTCACTTAGGCTTATAACATTTCAACTTGGAGACACAACCTTTCACAAGCACAGAAGCCAATGTGACTAAGTTGGACCAAGAGATGTTGGGCAGCATAGGACTGTATACCTGCAGTTCTCTCTTAGACTAGTTCAGGTGAATCCAGTAGGTGATATGGGAAATGGATCACTTGGAGAATCAATTTGCACTAGGTAGTGAATACTAAAAAGCCCCAGATCTTCCATTTCCTTATGTATGCTTGGTTTAGGAGTTATCGACTCAGGATGCAGTAGGTTGTAACCTACTAAAATCTAATTATATAGGTATATGATTATATAGGTATATGGTTCATCTCCTTCGTGAGGAGAGCAACGGAACCTGCTAACTTACAGGTTGCAGTTTCCTAGGGGTATGTAGCTTGTGTCAGAAGGCATCATCTGGGAAAAGGAAGGTTCCCCAAACCAAAAGGCCAAGCAAATAGGGGCGGCCTCTGGAAGGCAGAGGCTCCAACTTGATGCTTTCTGAAGTTGGAGACTCCTTTTGTGGCCTTAGATGGGGATAGTTTGAGGCCCTTTCAACTTTTTTTGGGGGGGGTGGTCTCACTGTCAACTTTTTTATTTTCGGGAGGGCTGTAGTCTCACTTTGTAAACCAGGCGTGCCCCGAATTCGTGGCCATTCTCCTGCCTCGGCCTCACGTGGGGATTACAGAAATGAGCCACCGCGCCTGGCTCCTCGCAACTCTTGAAAGCATGTATTTCCACCAAGTTCTCCTGGCGACCCAGGGCTGGTGATGTCGGCGCCCAGGTTAGGGTCCGCACCCCGAATTGGAGGTATGAGGGGCGGGTCTGTCCTGGGCCCGTGCCGCCCCATGTGACTCGGCCCGACATGGTGTTGCCTCCTCTCCTGGAGGCAGCGGCGTCTCCGGCTCCGCTTTTCATCAGGCGGCTGCTCATGGGCAGCCAGGGCCGCTTGGGTCCCCCGGGGAACGGTGGGCAGGGCGAGGGCGAGGGCGAGGGCGAGGGCGAGGGCGAGGGCGGTGAGGAGAGGAAACTGCAGAAGACGAGAGGGAAGAGAAGGAAGGGGAAGGGGAAGGGGAAAGCGGGCACCGGGGCCGGCGGAAGAGGAAGAAGGGCGGATGGGAAGCCAGGGCTGCAGCCGGTGGAGAAGGCAGCGGGGCCGGGGGCTGAGAAGGGAGCTGAGACAGGCCCGGCGCGGGCAGGACCGGGAGGCGGAAGCGTGGGAGGGCCGAGAAGCTCAGGGAAGCGAGATGAGGGCAGCGCAGGGGCCGGGAAGGCGTACGAACGTAGGGCCAGGGCAGGGCGGCGGGAGGACGGCCGGCCGGGGAGACTTCGGGGCCGAGGGCTGCAGGCGTGGGCCGAGTTCCCGGGGCCTGGGGCGGCCATGGCAGCGACCGAGGAAGCGGTGGCTGCGGCCTTGGAGCCAGCCCCCGGTCCGGCCGCTGGGCCCGCGCTATGGCGCCTGCCGGAGGAGCTGCTGCTGCTCGTCTGCTCCTACCTCGACGTGCGGGCCCTCGGCCGCCTGGCCCAAGTGTGCCGCTGGCTGCGGCGCTTCACCAGCTGTGACCTGCTCTGGCGCCGGATAGCCCGGGCCTCGCTCAACTCCGGCTTCACGCGGCTCGGCACCGACCTGTAAGCGCCCGCTCGCCGCCCGCTCCCTGCCCTGAACCGGCCAGCATCCTGGGAAAGGGCGGGGCGCCGAGGCCTGGTCGGCTTGGGCCATGTCGTACCCCGAATTCTGAATGGCCTCTCCGGAGACCCCTCCCCGAGCACCCTTGGGGATCCCGACATCAATCCCCCTACCCCCAACCTGAGGAAGCTTCCCAAGAGCATCCCTCACCCAGCGCCCTCCCCCGTGGGCGGCTCCTCACAATTAGCCATCTTAAAAGACTCCCTTCTGAGCCTAGCTGTGGCTTTTCACTGACGTTTGATTCTGGGGTCCTCAGTCCATAACCGCTAAGCTGCTGTGCTCTGTCCATCATGCTTTAAACGACTCCTCCTGCCCAGTTCTAGGACCCAGGTCCACTAGGTGGTCTGCCAGTGTTTTGTGGACCTTCACCCCCCCGCCCCCATTCTCTTAAAGGGCTTAGACATCAGGCCTCAGATCCTAAAATAAAACTTTTAGCCCTAGTGTCCCCGTATTTTATGTCTGCTTGAGGTGAAAAGCTGGATTTGGTGTAGGCCATATCCAAGGTACTGCAATTTGAGATATGTTTTATAGTGTCTGAGATCTGTGAGTGAAAAACTTTACTGAAACAAGGCTGTTAAACAGGAAGGGGGAAAAAATGTTTAAAATTGGCAGGAGTAAAAGCTTTGAGATAGCATCCTGTCCTGCTCAGTTATACTACAGAACAACGTAAAGAAGGTCTTTCAAAACAAAAATTTGTATCGTCATCTCTACACAACTATTTCCATTTTAAAAGTGTTTCAGTGGCATGCTCTCCACCCCTTACTGGTTCTAATAGAATGAGTACCTAAGGAATACAGTAATGCACTTTGCAGTATGTCACATGCCATGCCATAGATTTGTCTTCTTGAATTAGGTCCTTAGAATAAAATCTTAAGGTAGGCATTGGGTCAAAGGTTGTGGTATGCAAAGATGTTGGAACAAGTACAGTATACTAGTAAAGAGTGGTTGGACTGTTTTTTGTGAGAATTAAAGAAATCCCAACAACTTTGCTACATTTATGGGTATATAATAGTATCAAAGTTGTGTTATTTTGCATCTTTTATTATTGGCCAGGATAAATGTTTTGCCATGTGTCTGTTTCACCTGTGAGATTGTTTCTTCCTACTCTGTGCCTATTTGTTATTGGGGTCTTGGTGTTTGTCTTATAAATTTGGAATTTTTATGGGTCACAAATGTTAGAATCTCACCTGTCATCTTTGATGGGAATATTTTTTCCCAGTCAATTGTTTTTATTGTTTTAACCTATTAGAAGTTTCACACTTTACTAGAATCTGCCAGAGTTTTGTAATTTTTTTCTCCCCCTCTTTAACCTGAGGAATTTATAATTCCACAGAGCTGATAAATTTGATTTCCAACTGGTTTTCTTAAAACTTGATTTTTTAAATGGCATTTTCATGAATATCAGTTTCATTTTGGTGCAAGAAATGAAATTCCCTTACAGTTTTTGCCTTAAATGCTTATCACTACATACTTTGTTAAGTAATTCTTCTCTTCCCCTTTGTTTTGGAAAGCTTACATTGCTATATATTAAATACTCATGTATATATGTATGTATATTCAGTTTCTCTGTGAGCTCTCATTTTTTTCTACTGGTGTATCTATCTTCCCATTTCCATAACGTTTTGTTGTTGTTGTTGTTGTTTTGAGATAGGGTCTCCCTGTAGCCCCAGCTGGCCTGAAACTGGCTATATAGACCAGACTGGCCTTGAATTCAAAGAGATCCACCTGCCTCTGCCTGCTGAGTGCTGGAATTAAAGGTGTGTGCCACCACGTCCAGCATATATTGTTGCTTAATTCAGTGTGGTATCTGCTAGAGTTACTTGTGTGTGTGTGTGTGTGTGTCACAGCTCCACTTCAACTTCATGCAGTATTCTCTGCATTTTCAACTACTTTTGTAGTTTTTCATTATAAAGCTCTTGTATATCATTTGTTATACTTATTCCTATGTGTTTCTTATTATTTCATGTATGTTGTGTTTATTGAAAATACAATCTCTCTTTCAGCATGTTTTCTAATATAGTATAATAGTTTTGTATTATACTGTATTATACAAATTTTGAACTTGTTCATTTGCTTAACTTTCTATTCTAGTACAATTTGGTTGATGATGATTCCTTGGGATTTGGAGGTGGTGTGCATGTGCATGAGCAGTCTGGTCGCCTGCAAAAATTAGTATTTATTCCTCTTATCTGAATAACTTTTTTTAAAGCCAAAGGTGGGAAAAACCCAAATTATTTATATTTTATTCTCTAGTAATCTGTAGTAATATTTACTAGTAAACACTTGTTTTGTTTTGTGTTGAGAGAGGGTCTCCCTGTAGCACTAGCTGGCCCAGTACTAACTACATAGACTAGGCTGGCTTCAAACTCACAGAGACCTGCCTGCCTCTGCCTCCCTAGTGCTGATTTTTTTCTTACTGGCATATAATCATTGTGTGTAGTGCTGGGTTTCATAAAGACATTTTCTGGGGCTGGAGAGATGGCTCAGTGGTTAAGAACAGTGGTTTTCTTGCAGAAGACCCAGGTTCAAATCCCAGTACCCACATGGTAGCTAACAACTGTCTGTAACTCCAGTCCCAGGGGATCCGACAGCCTCTTCTGTCCTCTGCAGGTATTGCATGACACGGGTGCACTTACCTACATGTAGGCAACACATGCATACACATAAAAGAAAAGACATTTTCTTTCAAGTATATCATGTACTTTGACAGTAATTCTTTCAAAGAATATTATCAATTGACTTATAAGTTGGCTAAAATGACTGGAATTCAACAAGGCAATGTTTGGTTTTCTCTTTTCCCTTATGGTAGAGAATAAACAAATGAATGAATGAATGGCTTATTTTTCTTTCCCTTTCTAATGTTCTAAAAGAGAGAAACTGGGAGCAATAGCAAAATGAAAATGAATTTATATTATAAAGTGCTTTGAGTCTGCCAAGTGATATCATTGTGGCTTTACTATCATCAGGGGTGTGTGTGTGTGTGTGTGTGTGTGTGTGTGTGTGTGTTGATTTCTTCTCTATGTCGTGGTATGAAGTATTGCCTTTCCTCCAGAGAAGTAGTTTTGCCATAGCACTATGATAAAGAGCAGGGTCATTCCTCTGTTCTGGGCTGAGGGGAGAATTATGCCTTTTATAGCAGGTGGAGAGAATGTTTACCAGCGTGGTCTGCTTTGGACAGCTGCAGAGACTTTAATAAACCACCAAGAGAGGTAGCTGTTATCCCTGAAGAGAGAAAGAAGGCACATACCCCAGTTCTCTCAGAGCATCAAGGAGCCTAGTCCCTAAGGGCGACAAGAATATAGCTGCTTGCATAATGTAGGCTGTTGTTCATGCTTTGGGCCAATTCACTGCAGACTGGATAAGCAAGTACATCTTTATAAGCATAGTATAAAACTTGATTTTCTCAGAAGGCGCATGATCTCACTGGCTCTGAGTTTTCTCATTTATAAAGACTAGGAATAGCATTGCTCATTAATGAGGCCTAATTAGCTATGATTGTGTTCAGTTCTAGAAGGCATTCAATAAGTTGTTTAATTTTTTATATCAATTTTTAAAATTAATTTTTTTATGCATATGAGTGTATTGCCTGCATGTGTATGAGTGCACCTGTGTTGTGCAGTGCCCCAGGAGGTCAGAAGAAGGCTTCTAGTCCCCTGGAACTGGTGTTACAGATGGTTGTTAGACACCGTGTGGGTGCTGGGAATTGAACCCAGTCCTCTGCAAGAGCAGTCAGTGCTCTTAACTGCTGAGCCATCTCTCTAGCCCCTCAATAAGTTTTTTTTTTGTTTTGTTTTGTTTTGTTTTTTGTCTTTTTTGAGACAGGGTCTCCTTGTAGCCCCAGCTGTCCTGGAACTCACTATGTAGACCAGGCTGGCCTCAAACTCACAAAGATCTGCCTGCCTCTGCCTCCCAAGTGCTGGGATTAAAGGCGTGCGCCACCACACCCAGCAATAAATTATTTTTAAAAGAACTTTTTCATTGCTTGGGTTCTCCTTTAGTCTGCATATGTCAAAAGTTGGGGACCATTTGATTTGGAAGTGCTATCAAAAGACTGGAGGGAACATACCCAAACAAACACACACATAACACTCAGTTTTTCTTACCTGCCCTGAATGCTTTCACAAACATGACAGCAGAACCTGTCGGCTTAGGGCCTGCACTTGCTGCTTAAGAGCTTCTGATTCTCAGGAACACTGACTGCTAAGGTTTACTGACCTTCCGGCCCAGGGCAAGCCCTGTTGAGTTTAGCTGTTCCTAACTGATCATAGCTTTGTTGAGTAAGATGAACTGCTTTGGTTCCTTGTGATTTGTTAATGGTCTTATACTTGTGCTTGAAGGCATTTGAGCCACTTAAAAACCACAAACAAATAATTTGCTTCCCTTCTAAACAGTGAACACTAATAAGTAACTTGGGGGTGGGGGTTGCCTTTTTTTTTTTTTTAAAGGGGATACAAAGGTAATTTGAATCAGTTTTCTGATTTCAAATCCATTTTATTTGAAGGCTTTATGAAGCCTAGGGGAATAGAAATATCTTGATAATAATAATAAAAATCAAGGCATTGTTTCATACAGCAATCTTGAGTTTTCCCCCAAAGAATAGGGGAAAGAAACTAACCTAATTCAGTATGCAAGAACAAAGCAGTAGACTTCAGCTCTGTCAGTGTATGATGCAGACTGTATAAAGAAGTACACTGTGAGAGGGGAAGAGAAGAGGTGCTATCTGTAAACTGATACTGAAAATTAGCAAGAAATGAAAATAATCTAAATCTATTTAATATTTGCAATTTCTGTGTTGAAAAAACCTTACTTAAGCCCCTTCCTTATTTAAGTGCTACATATTTTCAAACGGGAATTTCATTTTGAATATCCTATGAGAAGTACCTCTTTTACATTTGCCTGTGATAGGTTTGCCTAGAATTAACAACAGTGGTTTCAGGAGGGG